TTAGACAAGAAAAAAAAAATACATGATATCAATTTTATAATACTATAAATTATATACGTCCTTCTCGGAGAATTTTATAGTGATAATGGAATACTATTAATTACTTTTTAGAATTTATTTAAAAAAAAACAGAAACAAAGAATTTTATGGTGCTAATAATATACTATTAGTTATTCATTGGAGTTTGCTTTAAATAAAAAATACAGCATAAAGAGTAAAGAAAATATAAAATTTCTGACATGTTAAAAATAATAAAAATATTTTCATTTATGATTTTTCACTCTTAGTTATATTTTTTAAAATTAAATTTATAAATTAACTAATATGATGGAGCACCACAAGACTAATATTTTCAATTTCAATGATAAGTATTAGTTTTTTTAATAAAAACAAAAACAAACTGTGGAGTTTACTTAGATAGATCAGTGGGTGGTGAATTTTCTCTTCTTCTTCTTCTTTTTTTTTTTTATCATAGATAAAGCAGTGATATTGTTCTGACTATATTTGTATTAAAAAACAATTGAATTTTATCTTTATGACCACACGGCAATAATCCGAACACATGAAAATATTTTATTATTTTTTTGGGATTTGAAGTGAGTTTGAAGTTTTTCATTAATAATAAAAAGGTATTATCGTATAATTACAATAATATATTTTATAATTGCACAATACAAAAATAAATACTAAGTCCTGGTTATAAATATGAAATTTAACCATAAATCATACACACAGTCATACATAAGTAATTTGAAAGTAAAGTTAACAACAAATTTGTTGAAAAATCAATTATTTTTTTAAAATATATGATAAAAAGTAAAATTAACAACAAGATTATGTTAAATAATTAAAAAAACTCGAATGAATTGAATTAACTTATATAATCTAAGTCATAGTTTAAGATAATTTTATAAAAAATAAATTAAAAAATATTAAAAAACCAAACCTAGTTAATATAATTTTAGCAAATATTTTAAGTTTTATTTTATTTTTTAGATTGATATTATATTTTTAATATAAATTTAGGTTATGTTTAAAATTATAGTTGCGGTTGTTTTTTTATCTTGAAATGCATAAAAAAATATTTTTTATTATTTAAAAAATATTTTTAAAAAATACATTAATACAATTCAAAATATAAAAAAATTATTATTTTTTTAATTTTTTTAAAAAATATAAATTGGCTCGCATTTCCAAACGTTTAGTTACTGTCATCTTATTCGTAAATGAATACCACCATTGCCATTATCCATTGCAATAGCGCTGCTTCTCTACAAAATGACAAGCTGATTTTGTATCGCAAAATTATTTGTCTGTTTTTAGCACACTTCTATATTCAAATGTTTTCAGATTTAACTGTCAATTGCCATTGCCATAACAGTTCATGCTGCTGCTAATTGTCCCTCAGCAACGCGCGGTATATGTATAAGTTTGCTAAATGTTATTATGAATTGATGGCCCTCGCCTTTATTTTTTCTTCTTTACAGAAGACATCTGTGAGGCCATTCCCATCTTCTCTCCTCAATTATTTCTCCCGTTCTCTTCTCTGCACTTACTTTACCAAAGACCAATTTGCAGACAGAGGCACCTAGTCTGCCAAACAACCAAATTCCCTCGGCCCTGGATTTGGTTTCTCTTTTTTATTTTCCAGGGTACTGGTACATACATTAATCTTCTATTTTTCTATAGTTTCATTTCCGAATCAACCATTGTTGGATAAGTGGCTTTGTTTTTTTCTTATTTTGTTTTACAGCCTTGATTCAAGGGTTGTCAATGGCGGGTTCTTCGAAATTTTGAAGAAATAAAGCAACCTGGTTCTTCTCTCAACAAAATCTTTTTCTGGGTTTTCTAGGTATGTTTCCTTCACTTGATTTTGGCGTTTCAAACCGTGCGTTCCTTGATTTTTTGATGAAACAGAATAACCAATTTATTTCTCTGCATATTCGGTATCTAGGTTTTTTCTAGTTTTTTGTCCTAGGGTTTTTTTGGTCGTTTTCAATAATATTATCTTTCAAATTTTGTACCGACGGAGAACCATAAAAACAAAAATCAATTAACTAGCAAAAAGATCCCTGTTTTTTTAGTGTTTTGAAGTGCGAAGGATGTCATGGCCATATAGTTTCTTTTAAATATGTAAACTTGCAAGTATTCCTTGTGGCATTTCACCAAATGGACGGTGTGCACAATTCAATCTAAAAATGGCGTGGCTATGATTAGCAGCAACTTTCCTCTTTGTCCTTGGCGGAATGGAAATACTGAGAGCTTCATACGGCGACGCATCATCTGATTCAGACTCTGATTCCTCTTCTCCACCAACAACGAAATCAGTCTCTCCTGTTTCAAACCCAAAAGCAGAGGCCATAGCTTTACCACCTCCTCCTCTCGCACTTCTCACTCCTCCTAATCCTCTCGGTAACCAACCAAATCTTTCATTAATGTTTTAGAATCAGTCCTCTTCTTATTTTGCTCACCAACTGTTTGATGCTTGGCAATGAAGGTGCATTGGATTCCATGCTAAATGGTCAGTCCAGTCGAATTAGAAGCTTCCCTCATGTTCAAGGCAACTATGCTTTGCACGTCTACATTCCAGGTTTCTTCTACATAATTCCCTTGTTAATTTTTTTAATTATATTAGTAGAGAATGTCGTTCATTTAACAATGTGATTTCAGTTAATATACCACCTGCGTTGAAGGAGGAAGTGGTTCAGTTCTTGAACAGGATATCATTAGTTGTGCCTGGTCTTCATGTTGTTGATGCCGATGTTCCTCTTGATATTTTATGTAAAGATGATCACAAGCTTGAACAAGTTGCATTAGGTAGAGAGTTCCATATTAGCTTAGGAAGAACTGTGCCGATTCGAGTTCACCAGATTGATTCAGTCATTGCTATGCTTCGGCAGAAGCTTCAGTTTCAAAAAGGGTCAGTTTTGATAAGCTTAAGCAAGTTTTTGTTATGGGTTTATGCAATTTTTTTCCTTGAAACAATGTTTTGTCGAAGCAGATATTGGATTGACTTTAATAAGTGGGAAGTTTTTGTTAATGATGACAAGACACGCACCTTTCTTTCACTAGAAGTTGTGACTGGAGGATTAGCTGAGGTACGCTGCTTGACAAATTTTGTTTGTGTATTTGTTTCTTCACCTTTCAAGTTTGTATAATTTTATGTAACAATGATTGGTTCTGTTTCAAATGCTTTAGATTACCAAGCAAATTAAGTCTGTTAATGACGTGTATAAGCTCCACAATCTTCCTGAATTTTATAAGGTGAGCTTAATTATTAAGTAATTCCCATGAACATCTGTTACTAAGTGTGATTGTATATATCTTACAAGACTCTTGTACTATGTTGGATGTTGCAAATAGGATCCACGCCCTCATATATCGTTGGCTTGGGCATTGGGGGATGTCAGCGATGTCTTAAAGAGAGAAGTTGTAAACGAAATGAAGAGGTCAAGTGCTGGGGGATCAATATTGAAACGTGTATTTAGTTGTAAATTCAGCGGGATTGAGTGCAGGATTGGTAAGAAAACGTACAAAATTTCAAAATTTCTTGATGAAAAATAAGGCTTTTAAACCATGTAACATCCGTCTTTTGATTGAAGCTGTATCTTGTGTTGATCAATTAAGTGCATATCAAGAATTATCTGATCTCATATTATTTGTTTGTGTAATGAAGGATGATGAATGGAGATAGCATCTTATTGAAAGTAATCCCATTATGTTGCTTATGAAGTGAATTTTCTTCCAAAACCCTAATCATAGTTTTTCCCTTGTCTAAGCCTCAATTATCTGAGTATAAGGAAAGATTCTTACGCCTCTTGGAATGGGAATTTGTGAAGAGTAAGAAACAGTTGAGAGAGAGAGAGAGAGAGCACAGCAGTCCCGTATTCAGAAACACAGGCAGATCTGCATATTTGTATATTTATTCATGAAACTTGTCTTATACATTAGTTTTAGGCTGCCTAGATACTTGGCCACCATTTTACTTGTCGTATCAGAAAGACTCTTTTCCCATAAAATTTTGACGACACACTGTAAGTTGTAAACTTGGTGATTTGGTATCTTAAATGCTCCATTCAACAGCCTGCTCCCTAGTCTGTCTGAAGCCTGTGCCATGATATTAACACGAAATTAACTCTCCAAGCTTGGCTTTGGCTTCTTATGCATTCATTCACTTTCAAATGACTCCGGGAGCCACGTCCATGACAAACTTCCTAAACTTCTCTGTAAGTGATCGAACTGACCTAGCCAAAATGGACGTTGTTGTACACAAGACTGGCGTGCTTAACGGGACTTGAAGATGGAGATTTGCTGGTCTAATGCTTGAAAAAATAAAGCCACAAGCAAAATACAAAGTACGAATAGGCATCCCCGGCTCAAATTGCAAGGGGGGTTTACTTGTGAGGATCATGCAGAGACATGAAGAACCCTACTGAGTTGCACGACAGAGGACAAAAGCAACTGTCTTCCTGGTAGCAAAAATGGCTGACCTGCGAAGCTAGTTTGCAGCAACTGCTGTTGTGGTCTCGTTTGTCTGTATCTCACCAAACATCTCCATGAGGACAGCCTGGAATTACCATATCTTAGTGCATAACTAGATTAAATGGGTTTAAACTCCAAGCCTTTAAAACACCATAGAGTTGCAAGGTGGATGTAGTCCCATTTTCATTAGAAGTAGAAATGACAATTTAACTTCAATATAGTTGTTTTATTTGATAAATAATAAATAAAGTATGAATATTATCGAATATAATCCAAAATTTTATTTAAAGAATATTTATATCTTTTTAATTCAATATAATATATACATATTCTAATATTCATATAATACACGTACACACCATAATTGTTTTGAGCTGCTTCAACCATCCACTTAACCAGCCCAAAGAGAGAGTCCAACAATTTCTTCCCAACTTAGCCCCAGTAAATAACCAACAGCTCTATGGCTACATCCGTACTTTCATGCCCTTATAACTAAAACCCTAATATACCCCTTCCTCCTCAAATACCCCAGCCGAACCCTAACCTGGTCTTAAATCTTCAGCATCTACTCTGCATCTCTGAAAGTAAAGAAGCGAAGATGCAGATCTTCGTGAAAACCTTGACGGGCAAGACAATAACCCTCGAGGTTGAGTCCTCAGACACTATCGACAATGTCAAAGCCAAGATTCAAGACAAGGAAGGTATCCCACCGGACCAACAGCGTCTCATTTTCGCTGGAAAACAGCTCGAGGATGGCCGTACACTTTCTGACTACAACATCCAGAAGGAGTCCACTCTCCACTTGGTGCTTCGCTTGAGGGGTGGAGCCAAGAAGAGAAAGAAGAAGACCTACACGAAGCCCAAGAAGATCAAGCACAAGAAGAAGAAGGTCAAGCTCGCTGTACTCCAGTTCTACAAGGTTGACGATAGCGGCAAGGTCCAGAGGTTGAGGAAGGAGTGTCCTAATGCTGAGTGTGGTGCTGGTACTTTCATGGCTAATCATTTTGATAGGCACTACTGTGGTAAGTGTGGCCTTACCTATGTTTACCAGAAGGCTGGTGGTGATTAAGCTTTTTTTTAATCCTTAAAGAAAGTATTGAACAAGGATTTCTGCCAATTTATTATTTTCTTGCTTAGAACATGGTTGATGGTTCCCTTGTAGTTATATTTTCTTGGTATTAATTGGTAATTTGGAGTTTAATTATTGTTTAATTAGTTGTTAGTGTTATTTTTTGTGATCTGTGCTTGATGTGGGTTTTGCTATAATATTCATGGCGATAAACCCTTCTTGATATGCTTCAATGGGAAAACTGGCGTTAGCCCTGTAATATCTGCTTCACAAGTCAGCATGCCCCATATGAGAATCAAAGGATTGTCACTTGCCAGTTGACAACAGCGGGATATTGAGTATTAAAACTAACTGCTGCAAATAATCGATGTTCCCTGTCTTGTATCAATGTAGTGATGTCTTGGCGTCTGCTAGGAAGAAATGAGATTGTTCCTGCTGCTTTTTAGACGTCTGGTTACCATAGCATTCTCTAGGAACAAACATATTACATGCAGAATCTTAAAACCAATGTCTCAAGGTAAGAGAATTTTCTATAGAAAATGCTGCAGGTTGAGTTCATTTCCTAGTAGTAACTATAAAAGTAATTTAGATTTCCCGTTTGGAATGTCTTGGCAAAGGAGTTATCTTGGGGATTACATGAGAGAATGGAGAATTTCTTGGTAATAGAAGAAATCGAAAGCCATTTTCAATGTCCATTTGAACAAATCTTCTTGTTTTGTTTAGTTTTTCCTCGAGGGTTTATATTGTTTTTGTTTCACATAGGCAATGGAAAACCAAATAGTAAATCATAAACAACAGATAGACTACCGGTTGTTAACTAGTAACTAGCAGGTGTTTTCAGATGCTTCCATCATACTCCTAGCGACAATTTCACCACAAACTGAAATTTAAGTTCAGACTAGACACATTAGTTGACCGAAGGGCCTTTATGTGTAACGCCTTATCACAAACTGAAGCACCTGTGTGTCGGGTTGCTGGCGATTTTTCCGAGCTCTGGAAGTTGTTTTACCAGCTTAGCTACAGTGGGTGTAATTGAAGCTGTGTTTAAAACAGGAACAGACTGCGCATATCTGGTGGAATGTTTATCAATGCAGTGTTGCAAGTGGAAAACATGAACAAACAATTTTACTTAAACCGAAGGAAAGATACCAAGCCCCTTGGAAGGGGAACCTGTGAAGACTACAACAGGTTTGTGACAGAGAGAAAGCACCGAAATCACTTGCGCACACATGTCAAAGCGTGCAAAAGAACATATATTTAATCCACAAACAGATCCTATACATTAGTTTCATACGACGCCGACTGGATACCTAGCCAGCAACTTCTTTCCTTGTGAAAATGTGTCCGCATGAGACTCGCTTGGTGATGTGAGCAAGACAATCATGTTCGAAGCCTTATTTTGCATCCATCCACTTTCAAACGACTCTATGAGTGAAGTCCTTGAAAAATTTCTTGAGCATTGTTGCAAGTGGACGTGGTACTCGTGCTAAAGCGGACATAGTTGAAGACAATATTGTTGTGATTAACTGGACGGATAGACGGAGGCTGGATGGCACAATGCGTGGTAACGCCGTTCCTTAAGTACAATAGATAGCAAGCAGACATATTTGAAGCTCAAATTGCAAGGGAAATTCACTTGTGAGGACATAGATCATGTAAAGAGACATGGAAAACCCTACCGAGTTGAAAAACACAAACAGCATGAAGCCAACCGGTATTGTGGTAGCCATAATGGACTGACCTCCAAAGTGAGCATTGCTGCTGGTGGTACTATTAGTATGCTCAGGAATGTTTGTATCTTGCCAAACTCCTCCTGCAGGGTTGACTCCAACTTGGAATGTTGCAGTTGCAACCAAAACAGCTATAACTAGTAGTGTGCTGCGCGCTTCGCTAGGTGAATCCGTCCCTTTTTTAAACTTGAAGTATTCTATCAAATTATTTCCGTTTGACAGGCATCTCTCTGGTGTTGAGGGGTTGTCAGTAGAGGTTTGATTGTTGGGAATGGTGGAGTGGATAATATCTCTTGCTCTTGTTGCTCCAGCGCTTCGAAGGATATCAACAATTTCTCTATCCCCTGCTTCGCTTGGGAAAATTAGAACCATGTCGAGGGCGGTGAGGCCACTATTGTTAATGGCATTCACTTCCAACGAGCCTGAACTTACAATTCCACTTCCAAGTAGCATTTCTAACACCTGCAACGATAACTTATCTCATTTTTGCATATTTTTTGGATTTAAATGTTAAGTCAGTAGTCCAATTACTGCAGTTGCTAAGTTGGATGACTATTTGCAGGGGCCATGCACAAGTAAGTTGGGTCAATTGGTATGTTGGCCATCCCCAACATTTTCTAGACTCAGGTTCGGATCTCGTAAGCTGAGAACCCCTGATACGATGCATAACCACTACTAACGTGGAAACAAAAGCAGCTCTTTGTTTAGATGAAGTCCTGTAACCCCTGATACCCGAGAACCAAAGACCTAAAATTGACGGGGCAAGATATACATGGACACTTCAGTTTTCAGAATAAACATCGATACGTGGTCCTTGGTGATCAGACTATTAGAAATGTGAAGACAGCTTGCTTTCCTGGTCTTGGTACTTCTCTGCATCCCATGTGTTCGCCTGGTCTGTTCAGAAAGTTTAAGCCTCAGCATTGGTTTGCAGCGTCGAAAAGACCAGGCCCCCGCTGCATCATTGGGACTAGATTCTACAGGGTACCCTTTTTTGTTTAAAATGGATTGAGCTTTACATGTATTTTTAGGTTGATCTCTTTTTGTTGTAATATAGATGGTGCACATTTCTATGTTACGGTGGGCCGACCTAACAACCAAAACATAGGCATTCCCCTTACTGTAGGGGCTGTTGCTAATCTTTCTGGCTATAGTATGAACTCAAAAGGTTCCACTTGAAAAGTGTGAATATGAGCCATCTAAAATCTTGTTTAATGATTATTCTAATTATTTCACAAGGGCCTCGGTTTCAAGAAATATCTGGAGATGGGGACACCTATGGTTCAACTATCCAATTTTGACCTTTCTTAGTCTAAGAAAGAAACTCTATTTTAATACAAATATTTTGAATAATAGCCCAGTGGCCCTGTCAAAGTCAGTACCTGATTGCTCTTCTTCACCGGAAAAGCATCACATAGACAAAAGGTCTTTGGATATCCATCCTTGATGGGTGATCGTGAAAATAAAGGTAATCAAGACATTCTGTACTTCTGCATCACCTAGGACTTGGTAGGTTTATCTAGAGATCAAGTGTACAAGTGCAACTAGCTGGAATAGAAAACCTTATCAACCATATGAGCTAGTAAGTACCGGGAAGAAAAAAGGAAACAGACAGGAGAAGAATTTATTACCTCGCGTTGTTTTTTCCAGCTTGCAAGGTGCAAAACTGTATTCCCTTGCTCATCCTTCATGTTCAACAAGTATTCCTTGTTCCTGTCTTTGATCCAGCCCCCCAATATCTTTATTGCTTCAAATCTGTTATTCTTGACCGCAAGATGCAAAGCATTCTCCTTTCGATCAGTCTCATCTTCAATACAATCAGGACAATCTGAAAGCATTGCACTGATCACCTCCGCCCTCCCTTTGATAGCTGCATAGTGTAGAGTCATTTTCTGTCTTCCCTCTAACCGGCAGAGTTTGATGTCGACTTTCATTAGCTCCTTCACAATCTCAACATGGCCATTGGCTGCTGCTATATGCGTTGGGCTAAAGCCTTCTTGGTTTACCTATTTGGCAAAAACTGGTTTCAACTTTATAATCTCCTTCACAAAGTCGACATGCTCCACATCAGCAGCAATATTCAAGGGATTCTCAGCAGACAGCAGTGTGATGTTGAGGATTAATGGATTTTCTGTCAGCAACCGCTGCAAATAATCGATGTTTCCTCTTTGAGCTGCCTCAAACAGCCTTGTATCCATTATATTATGTAGTAACCTTAACTAGGATGGAAACAGATTGTCTTTGCTAAGGGCCTTTTCAGCAAGCAGACTATAAATAACGTTTGAAGAAGAATTCTCGTCGGCAGAAGATATCCTTGTCTGTTTTTTTTTTTTTTTTTGCGAGGCCTCAGATGATGACTGCATGAATCATAAGGTAGTCAATATGGTTTGTCTATAGTGAAAAATAAATGAAACTCATATCATATACCTTGAGTGTTTGAACTGGAAAACTTGGAATTAAATATGGTATTAAAAATTGGACCTGCTGCTCCTATCAATAACCTGTAACACATACTCTCTGAATATAAATAAATAAACACTTGTAAGACATGCTTCTACTGAATATTTCGAGTAAAAATTGTTGAGATCCTTGATTACCACGATTATGTGTCTTGTATGTGTATTTAGTGCTGGTTCCATTTCCTTCTGTAGGAAAAATTTTGATCGTCGTCAACCAACCTTGGTTTGATACTATCACTTGTCAGCATTTCCTTCTGAGGGAGTTTTTCTTTCTTTCTTTTTTATAAGAAGAATAATATGAAAGATCATGGTATAGCAAGCCAACCAATCCTGCTACAAGGTCATTCATCAGAATTCATTAAGCCTGCTAGCGGAAAAATCCTTACCTTGAGAGGAAGCCAACTACTTGCTCTTCTGTCTCTTCGCAACATTAGTATTTCAAATTTTAAGCTTAGCTCCATGAAAAACGGAAGAATTAAGTGGCTTTTTTTCAGAACTTTCAAAAACAAAATCAAGAGCAGCATTAGAGCACTGGAGAGAGCAGGTGTTTCCTCAGAAGCACCTTAGAGCCAGTATAACAGGTTTTGGAATCTAAATCAGAACCTTACACCAATTAGAACAGCTCAAAGTCATAGCACTGGTGGTCTAGGGGGACTGGGGATGCTCAACAGAAGCTATAGTTGAGGTGTGAGGTAGGATTCATCATGTAGCAAACATGCATGCTGTCTTATAAATGATTGATTGTCCAATTAAAACAGTAGGTCAGCCTTGAAAAGCTTTCATATTCAACTGCGTTATTTTAAATATGTAGAAAGATAGCTTATCCTGTTCTTACCACGTCATTCCCTTAGAAAAGCAGCTTGTAAAGACAAGGGAAACGGATAAGGGGAACATAGCACGGTGCTACCATTAATTATACAAGCAAAAGATTGTACACACCAAAACCAAGCTTACATGATGAGGAACTGATGAACACCATAAGGATCAAACATTCATACACAAGCTTCCAGATTTCACATATTGTTTTCTATCATTCAATGTTCAAATGAATCTATAAACCATGCTTGCTATGCTATCTTTAACCCTCTTTGCATTTAGTCTTATGAACCTGGCTACTATTGGTGTAACTGTAGACAAGATCGAAGTGGTTAAAACGACATAGAGCTTGACATGATCCTGTAAAATGCTTGTTACTGCTGTGTTATAAGTGAAATACATTGCAACCATGCATATTTGTAGCTCAAATTGCAAGGGGAACCTGCTTGTGAGGATGTGGATCATGGAAAGAGAGACAGAAAATCCTACCGAGTTGAAAAGCACGAAGAGATAAAATGCAGTTGGATCGGACGTGGCCATGACTGCCTCTCCCGCATAGTGTGATTTTTTAATGAAGGATTCGGTGCTGTTGTTTTGGCCAGCTATGTAACTATCTTTTCAAGCTCCTCATGGAGGACTAACTCCAACTTGAAATGTTGCAGCTGCAACCAGAACTGCGATAAATAACAGTGCACCCCCGAGCTTCGCTGGGAGAATCTCTACCCTTCTTGAATTTGACGTACTCCACCAAATTAGTAGCTTGAGATGCTCGACTTACTCTCTGATGCAGTAGGGATGCTTACTAAGGTTTGATTGACAGATTGAAACGAAGAATTGCGAGAACAGATAATATCTTTTACTGTCATAGCTCCAGCATCCCGAAGAATGTCTGCAATTTCTGTCACCTGCCTCGCTTGGGCATCACTAGCACATCGAGGGCAGTGAGGCCAGCTTCTTTTTTGGCATTCACTTCCAGAAAGCCCGAGTTATTATTGTCATTGCCATGGATCAGTTCTATAACCTGCAAGGAATCTTCATCGACTTTTCAGTCCCCCCCCCCCCCCAAAATTTTTTTTTTTTGCTGGAATGGCTAAGATGAACTTTCAATAATAAGCTGTGTGGTGTTTCTCACCTCTTCCTACCATAAACAGGCAACTTGGGATCGTGAAAAAATATATATTAGTTTCTTCGAGTCTTTGTTTTCATGCTGATGTGAATTTTACATGTGCATTGACATATACTCAGAGGTTTTTTGATTGGAAATACACTTTCTAAAGGTTTAGATTATGAGTTATAGCTCTATTTTTGCTGAGTGATGTTTATAATTTATAATGATAATGATTCTTAAACAATTAATAAAAAAAATTCAATTAGTATTTACTGCTTATCTTCGTATCTTTCAACAAAGGAGTTTAGGAAAGTATTTTAGGAATACATGGATTAAAAAAAAAAAAAAGAGTTTATTTAGCTCTTCGCATCCACTATAAATAGTTACTTTGGTTTTCTATTAGTAGATTTAATTGTAATTTTAATTATATTTATTAGTCTGAACAAGATACAATTAATTCTGAAATTAATTGAACGAACAATTCAAAATTGTCTGCATTCTACTCGCTAAGCTGCTCGGCCAGACAATCTTTAGTTCTTAACTAGTAGATTGGTTGGTGTTATGATACGGGCGGGTCAAGTTTTTCCTAGTATAATAAAAGGATGTGCAGGGTATAATAGTCTTTTTAAAAGAGCAAAAAATATATAAGAAACAGTCAATAGATTCAATAATTTTACTTAATTTAAAAATATTTATAAAAAAAATCACATCACATTAGCACACAAAATATATAACACCTTTCAATTGCTATTGCAAGCACATCAATCATATCTATTTTTTAATTATATTTATATTTGTAAAATTATTAAATTACTTGTCATTTAAATTTAGATTGATTATAACTATAAAGTCATTAGTTAAATAAAAAATTCATAGACCTATTTTTTTTTTAATAATGATGATTTAGTCATTATACTGTAAAGTCAAAGCAGTAAAAACTAAAAAATTCATGGATCCTAATTTTATTTTTGTACTTTTAAAGATATTTAAATTATTTTATTATGTATTTAAAATTTAAAAAACCAAATTTATCCTTTACAAATATAATAATAACAAGTGTGTTTTAATATGCGCGCACGCACATATATAAACTAATGTTTTTTTAATCCAATTCCATAACTTAGCACTCAGGCTTGATTTAGGGGACCGTTGTTGGTATCTTTTTTGTTCATTTCTCTGATCCACCAGTGATTTAATTGCTACAAATAGATGCCTTTTAAATCAGTGATTAATCAAGAAAAATAAGTGTTTGTTAATATTATAAAAAAATCCTTTTAAAGTTTTTCAAGAGATTCTAACAATTTTATTTGATAAAAAAAATTTAAATGAGAACACGCGAAAACTTTATAAATAAAAAAAATTAAAACCTCAATAATCAATGAAAAACAAACTAAAAAAATCATTTATTTTTTTTTAAAAAAATCTAATTTAAAATTTATAATTCAATCATGCCACCAGATAACCTTATACAAAAAAATTAAATAAAATAATTAAGGTCAACTTTCAAAAACACTAAATGATAAAAGAAGATCATGAAAAAATATCAATTTAAAAAAAATATATAAAAAACCAAAGTTAACCTCAATTAACTTATTGCTCTATATTTTGAAATATAAAATCGGGATAATCATACATAAAAAAGTAAAAAACAAATCACAAAACTCAAGGTCCAAAACCTAATGTTGATGATAAAATTGGAAAGAAAAAAAATATCAAAGTTAAATTTAGATAAATTTAGATAATCTGTAAAATTTATAATCTAAATAATGAGATCATAATTATTTCATAAAAGGTAAATATGAGAAAATTAAAAATAAAATTTTTTAATCATCTAAAATTAAAAAAAAACAAATAATAATTAAAATAATAAGAATCAAATATGATATAAAAAATAAATGAAAGAAAAATAACGAGGGACTAAATTCAAAAATAAATTGAATTAAAAAAAATAAAAATAACAATTAAAAAAATAAAGATCAAATTGAATGCAGAAATAAAATAAAATAAAATATTAAAGGATAAAATTTAATAAAAATCAAGAAAAATAAAATTAAAATAATGAAGACCAAATTGAACACAAAAATAAAATAAAATAATAAGAGATAAAATTAAAAAAAATTATCTTAAAAAATATATAAAAAATCAAAATTAATACGAACACAAACCAATAAGACATCTTTTGATTTTTAGAATTGCAGGCATGAAATATGAAGTGAGGAGAGAAAAAAAAAGGAAAAAAAAAATTCACTAAAATCTAGATATTGTTCTGTTATACACTAGCACTTAAAAGCATCGTTAATGGGAAATGCTATATTGAAGAGCCAAATGAAAAAAATGATTTTTTAAATAGTGTAAATATAGCCTTTTGAATTATGTGCATTCCAATAATAAAAAGTTATTTAGAAAAGTCATTTATATTTTAATATATTTTATGTTAAATTAATTTTAATATAATTATATAATTAATTTAGATATTTTATATATAATATAATTATGATGTTATTAATTATATAATTAATATGAGTAATTTATAAAAGTAATATAAAATTAATGAAGTAATATGAAAGTTAAAAAATATAATTTAAAATTTATTTATATGAATATTTTTAATTTTAAGTTTTATATGTTATTGTTAAAGATTTAATTTTTTAAAAGTAAATTTAAATTGTCTTCCTTAACTCATATTAAAAACATAAAATAATAAAGAAATAAAAATCACCACAAATATTAGATTAACAACAAAAAGTCTAAAAAATCAAGAGATATAAAAAAGAAAATAGAAAAAACTTTTAAATAATCATACCTTTTAATTTTAGCTAATTAACACAACCGATGTTAATAATTAACCGGAAAATAATTGATTCTTGTTTTTTTTAAATTTAAGAAAAGAGTGAGGCAATACAAAAATTTAAAACTACAAGTTTTTTTTTCATGTATTTATAGAAAATTTTTTCTATATTTTTTTTAAAAAAACTATTGGCTAACAGCTATAAAAATAGTTGTTGGCCAGCAATTATCATTTTGGTCATTTCTACAGTTAAATATAGAAATGACTGTTAAGGAAACAAATTGCTATTTTAGCTATTTGTTTAGCTTCTCCGTTAGAATGCAAACAATAAAGAAATAAAAGACAAAGGACATTCGATTTCTCATTTAACTATTCGGTTGAAGCTGCTCTAACAACTGAGAAAAAAACAATACAATGCTTTTAATATCATCATGAAAAATAATATTTTAAATATAAAAAAATCACACATAACATACAAAATATGTAATACCTTTAACTTACTGGTGCAAGAACACCAACCATATCTATTTTTAATTATATTTATATTTATAAAATTATTGAATGCTTGTCATTTAAATTTAGATTAATTACAACTATAAAGTCATTAGTTAAATAAAATAAACAATAAACCTATTAATTGTTTTTTAATAATGATGATTTAGCCATTATACTGTAAAGTCAAAGCGGTAAAAACTAAAAAATCCATGGATCCCAATTTTTATTTTTTTTACTTTTAATGATATTTAAATTATTTTATTATGCATCTAAAATTAAAAAAAAAAAAAACTAATTTATCCTTTACAAATATAATAACAACAAATGTATTTGAATACACACACACACAAACTTTTTTTTTGTTTTTTTCTAATTCTATAACTTAGCACTCTGGTTTTTTTCAGGAGACCGTTGATGGTATCTTCTCTGTTCATTTCTCTGATCCAATCCACCAGTGCTTTAATTGCTTCAAATAGGTTGTTCTTGATAGCAAGGTGCAAAGCAGTCTCTTTTTGAATAGTCAAATGTTCAATACAATCAGGGCAACTGGAAAGCATTACACTTATTACCTCTGCCCTTCCTTTGATGGATGCCTAATGAAGAGGAGTAAGCTGTTATTTCCCTTCTAATCAACCTCACAATCTCTACACGGCTGCAGGCTGCTGCCATGTGCACTGCACTGAAGCCTTCTTGATTTAATTCTCTGGTAAACGCTGGTTTTAGTCTTAATATCTCTTTAACAAAGTCAACAAGGGCGCCAATCGAAGCAATGTGTGAGGGATTTTCTTTAGAGAATATTGCAATTTTGTCGAGGATGAGTGGATTTTCTCTCGGTAACTGGTGCTAGGGCGCTGCATTTCCGGTTTGAGATGCCTCGAGCAACCTTAGATCCGTAGTGGTGTAGAGTGCCGCTGCTGCTATGAGATGTTTTGGCAAGTAAGAGTTATGCAGGTGGTTGCTGCATAGAGAAGAGGAGGAATTACCGTGGAAGTACAAGAAATCTTAAGCCTTTTTTAATGGCTAAATTCAAAAAAAAAATCTGCAACAAGGAGCAGAGACAGAGTAGAGCTGACCAAGATCTGAGCAACCACCAAATTGACATAAAGCAAATTGAATTACTGATGGTCATTTCAATGTTGAGATTACAGAAAATGTTCAAGCACAGAAAAGAGAAAGCGCGAGGAGGGAGTGTTTTATTTACAATAGGAAATTCGTTACCAGAATCATTACAAGTTGCTCCCTAACTTCATTTTCTATTCCTCGACAAGCTCTCTGAAGGGAAAGGCCTTACAAGGACAACAATGCCTGTATCTAGATGAAACCACAATCTACTCTCGGTACATGCAAGTGGATCATAACTCCAAGACATCGAATATCATTAATCCCCTTGCAATTTATTCTAATATATTGGGCAGAAAGCGTCTGCTTTATAACAAATGCTTGAATTGAATCATGAAAGAATAATGGGCCACCGGAGAAGATTAGAGCCCTTCAATGGATTCAAGATTGTATTCCTGAGAAGTTGAAGCTTCAGCCTCTCTACTTTCCTGTAATTTTGGCTTCTTGATGGCATCAAGAGTCTGTAAATACGTGTAAGAAGCACTCCGACTCGATGGACCACCCGGATTGCTTATTCTACTAGCAAGGAAGCGTCGGATCAGGCCTCTCAAGAATGGAGCCATGGTGTCTGGTTCATGTTCCAAGTAATACATAACTCCTCCCATGCATGCACAAAATAGGGCCACCTGCAAAATCACCAAACCAGAGTCTCACTCAGCCAAATAAGTTCAAATATTGATTCAGGAAAGCATGCAAAACAATTGTGGCATTCATCGTTCAAGGGGGTCATTAAGTTTTAGTCTCTGTGAGTGTTCGTACACATTTGAAGCAACCCTTGGGCAAATCAATTTGTTAACCCCGGCTGTGAACAAAACATAAATTGTGTGCAAAACAAAACATGCATAGCCCAAACCCAAACCATTAATTGACTCCTGTTTGTCTCCCGGCTGTGAAATAACCTCTTTAATTACAGTTACAAATTGCAACTGTACCACTCAGTTGAACTTTTATTTTTTTTTTGACAAGGAGAAGAGATCCTATTTTACCAATAGCAAAATACAAAAAGAGAGGTGCAACTCAAAAGAGATGCCAATCAGCTGATTTAGTGGAGCATATTCATGCCATTGCCTTTTCCTGATAATGGATAGCATCATAAACAGAAAATTAACAGGGAGCATCAAGTAGAAGCTAGCATCATCCAGAATAAAGTAGGTAAAATAGATATCTGTATCTGGAATTGAGTTTGTTGAGCCAATGCAAGAAGGCCATATTGTACAAAAGTAATACCTCAGCGTTCTTAATGTTTGGAAGCAGGTGGTGGTTCACTAAAATATACCACAGTGAATCTCCAGCCCTTGGAAGAACATACAAGGCAAGTTCAGCACGTCTAGATTTTTTCTCCAGTAGGACAGAAAGGGCAGATATTCCACCTGCGATCCAATATACAAGTTTGTGGTCTCTTGTCGATATTTTTCGATGAAGGCATATCACCCCCTTGCATCATCCACAAACTACTAAGAACATATTCACCATTTTAACATAAGAAAACTCAAATGAGTTAACAGCTACCTGAAAAATTCCAACAAATGCAGATAAGAATGTCGTTGAGCGAACAGCATCTCTAAGAGCAAGCCAACATGTCCGAGCAGGAGCATCCATGAACTAGAAGGAAAGGATAATATAGGACAAAAGAAACATTAGTTCCAGAAATGAAAACAACGGCCATCATCCTTCACAGAACAGAAACACAATCCCCGCCACATAAAAATAAAAAAAAAATGTGGCCAAGACATATATTGTTATGTGAAAAGCATGCGAGGCTATCTTAAGAGGTGGAACTATTCACAACTCCATATACCGTAAATTGTAAATTAGATATTTTCTAACAGCTGTTAATATAACTTTTCATTTTTTTAGCATGAAGTTCTGCCTCCTGTTTCCCTCCCAAGACTCTGCTTAGGCAGACCACAACTAGTTAATTGCTTCAATGGTTCTTTTCTAGTTTTGAATGCACTAGCAACCTAAATGCCTGAAGATGCAATAATAGCATTAATAACAAACACAAAAGGAATAATAAAGAAGAAAACCAAAATCATACAGAATCAGCTTGAGTCAAAGATTACCTTCTGCAGGTGCAGAACAACATAAGGTACAAAAGTCAGTGAGAAGTAAAGTGGAAATGTTTTCCTGAACGTTGCTGATGCTGCATTAGCATTCTGAGCTAAGCATGAATTTGTGCCCGGATGAACAACAGAACAAGGAATAATTGAAGGGAATTCTTCCAACTTCACAGAGTCCAGTTTCCCTCTGCGAGACAAAAAAGCTGACAATGAGGCAACATCCACTGGGCCACCTCTACAAGTTTCTTTTACAGCCTTGTATACAGGCGCTTGAACTGGTCCAGTCTTCTGAATGAAGTCTTGATATGCTTTTGGCAAGCTCTCAGGGCGCATTATAAAGGCATACATAACCTGAAAAACCATAATTAAAGACATGAAGAAAATCAGAAATTAATAAAACAATAATGGAAATGGCATGATAATGTTATGTAACATATATAAGCAGATGAATGGAGAGGTGATGGGATTAAAAAATAACTATCTCAAAGCATCGAGAACAAAGAAATTAAAATTTTGCAGGCAGGGATGTGCATTTTACAACCTTTACTATTACCGGTATATAAATCATCACAAGAAATTAACAAGTGGTGGCTGATCCTCAGCTTGCATGTTTTTCATGGATTTAAATCAGGCTCAATATTGAAAAAGTGTTCCTCTCATAAAAGATTCGTATAGACTAACTTGAGCCATTTTTCTCTCTTATAATCATTCTTGAACCTAGATCATAAACTATACACCGATCAACCAACTTAATCAAAGAAGGTCCTTATCTATTTTCAAGGCCAGCAACATCACTACACGCTTTCCTCTACAAACTACAACTTAGGATTGTACATTGACTTTGCTAATAAACCCTCTAGTTCCTCGCCTTGCCTTTGCTAAATCTTCAACCAGCACTACAATACTCCTCACTGGTGTAGCAATGTCTTTGAAGAAGCCAAAACATCAAACCAGCTCTCCTACGTGCACCAAGTAACCGTTGTAATTCAATTAAATACATGTATAACCCTCTGCTTTCCCATCTTACTACTGAATCATCTCATTCATCTTCCATTATCATTCCAATCTGGCTAACTTTATTTTACTTGATCAACCAGTGTTCCATCCCCACACAAACATGGCTGACCATTTATGCTTCAGTATCAACTAGATAGTTCAGATGCAACTCCACTTCCTCCACCAATTCTTATTCCACTCACATCAGTAATTCTTTGTCCCGTATAAAAATAAGTGGTCCATGTCCGGTCTCTAGGCTGCAAACCTTACCAGTTTAACCAATTCTCATTTCCTGCCTTCATAAGCAGGTTTAAATAATGACTTCACAGAAATGTTCTTACAAATACATGGTCCCATGCATCAAGGTGAACTTTGATTTACCTGGGCACAAGCAAGTGCAAAGAGCAAAGCATCTCCATGTCTCCAATGACTTCCCCAAAGATGAAACTTGTTTTTAGATTTTGCAGAATTATAAGCAGACTGATGAGAGGATCTAGTGTTAGACTGGCAAAATAAAGATCAAAAGCTTACCAATAAAATATCAAACTGTGCTCATATACCTGAGCTACCCTAGCCAAGAGGTAAAGAGCAAGTGTACGTCTCCGGTTTGAATCATCTAATGCTAAAACAGACAACCCTGCAACCGAACCTGCTAAAAATCTGCTCCATCACCCCCTTAAACAAAACAATGTCATAACCAAAGAATAGGTTCTATCAAAGCAGTTATAAATCATCATAACATAAACTAAAAAAATACAGTAAATTTTCAAACATTCATTCACAACTTACGCATTAATTGGCGTTTCTTTCCTTCTAAACTTCCTCAAAAAGCATCTCAGTGCATGATATGATCCAGTAAATCCACCAAAAAGTAACCCAACACGACAAGCCTCCTCTCTCACTATTAAATCCTTCTCCGAGACAAGTTGCTGCAATACAAAATCCAAATCCTCACACATTGCCAATAAAGCATTCTCTATATCCATTTCTACACCAAATTAAGCAAATTCCCAAAAACAAATAATCAAAATTTCAACAAAAATAATGCAACAAAAATCCACTGGATGATTTCAATCAATAACACAATAGACCAAACCAATCGTTTAAATTACGAAACTGCCATTGCCAGTAAGAAATTAATCCAAAATTCGAACATTTTTTATGCGAATTCTCTCCTAAATTCAACCGATAACACAGTAAATAAATAAAAAAACCCTAATTTTACATCCCCTACAAAATTACGAAACTTCCATGAAACACTTAAGCCGTATACCTTGAGGTCGAGAAGAGAAGAGTAAGAATGTCCTTTAGCAAGCTTGAAAGCACGAAGCAAAATGCCGATACCGACGCGAACACCATAAGAAAGAAGGAAGCTTTGACAGAGATTACCAATTGCATGAGCGGCACAGGACTCATCAGGTCCGTGATCGCAAGGAGGATAAGGACCATGCACCGCGTTTCTACGGTGCAGATCCTCTATTGCCTCGCGGAGGCGTTCCTCTGCCTCGCGAAGGCGTCGCTCTGCGTCGGAATTGTCGTGATGGAAGAGTGGTTGCGGAGAGGATGCCGATTTGGAGAGGGACGGCATTTTTCGCACAGTATCCCCCACTCAAAAGGTTTCTTTTATCTCGCGGTGATAACGCATTAACCGTAAGGTAACGTGCCCTAACTTTGTTTATAAAGCATCTCAACAGGACAACTTACAACAATTTAATTAATTTCCCTCTTTAGAAAAGTAACTTTTTGTATTTAATTTACATATTAATAATATTTTTAGATAAAAGAAATTGATGACTTTTTAGATTTTGTGATGTGGAGGGAAGCGAGAAGTGGCATGGAATTTTTGGTGTTCTAAGGATTTTGGTTCGGCAGGACCGCTTGGTCTTTTCACAAACAGTAGGGGTATTAAGGTATTAAGCTTATGCTCTCACCAGAACCAGCATTGATTGAGGGCTCTTTAAATAACAATTTACGGTTATATTTTTTCAACATCAACCGAACAAACTTATTTACACTATTAATTTTCTATTAGTACAAAATATAATAATTATTAAAAAAACACTGAAAGGGAAGACACGGTGGATCCAGATTCATTACACAGTAAATTATACTTTTCCCCAGCACGGCAAGGTGAAAATTGAAGGGGTAAAATGACATTTTTACAAGGTAAAATTCCCCTCTACCAAAATCAACCTCCAATGTAAAATTTAATAAGTTTAATATTTTGTATAAGTAAGAAAATAAGTTTAATATTCATAAAATCAACCTCCAATGTAAAATTCCCCTCTACCAAAAAAACATGATGGAATTTTTTTTAATCTTTTTTTATTGTTTTAACCAAGGTGAAGAATTTTTTATATAAATTCTTTTAGTTTTTAATCTGATTGGTTTTAAAATCTTATTAATTTTGTTTTTTTTATTGAAAATGATTTTGAAATTATAGTTTTGTTTTTCATGTTAACATCTATTATTATTATTGAATTCTTAATTAGAAATGGGAATTTTTTAATGGAACACTGTTAGGTGCATGCCATTGAAGAGTCATTAATTGCAGACATATATCAAATAACATGCGTGGTTGGCTACGTTTATGCCTCGACTGTCACGACTGTGACTAGTGAGTGGCATGTCATCAATCTCTTGTCCTTCTGAGAGACAGGGCTAGCTAGCTACTGCTGTTGGTGCAGCTTAAGAAAGAGGAGAAGATGCAGAGACGGGGCTGGCTAGCTACTGCCAACTGCTGTTAGTGCAGTTAATTAAGAAGGGAGAGGTTCTCAAAAGAAAAAAAGGAGGGCCCTCGTCGAGTCAAGCGCTACTGTGACCTGGCGCATGCAAGAAACAAGTAAGAAGTGATTTCCCTGTAGGAATTTTAATCAAATCATCAGGATTCCTGAAAAACTAACAGGTTTCTTTGCTGGAACTCAGAAATATATAGAAGCTGCAGCTGTTTGACATTGAAAGAGGTACACAAAAACAGTACTAATTGCTCCAGTCCTCCCTTTTGTTTATTGGGTAGCGATGGATACATATGAACTGTCTAGCTACGTTTTGTTTACTTCATTCTCAGAAGCACCAGTATTCGGTGCATTTTGATCTTTCCATGATGCCTGCCATTGCTTGTCATAGAAGGTTGCTTCATCAACCAGCTTTCTCAGGTTTTTGAAATCTTCTGTTCGCCTAAAAAGTATTATGCCAGTGACAGTCACGAAAAGTACCGTTTTGCAAATGAAGTTTCCTGTCTGGCCAACCATATCAAGCCCTGTCAATCCCTCCACAATATACGCTGCGAAGAATCCTACCATTGCCGCTCTACCTGCAGAACTGATGAATCTGTGAGACATGTATGGTTTAAAGACTAAGTTATAAGAAAGTGGATTGGAAGAGAGATCTTTGACCATTGAGAAGCTCTGCTTCTGGAAGATATGACCTTTTAAGCCATGCCCACCAAGGTATAATGGAGCTCCGAAAGAGCACGGGCTCTTCATTTGTAGATGTATTTGGATACAATTCAATAATTTTTCTCCTCTTTGCTTCTGCAAGGCCAACAGATATTAGAAAAAAATCACAGTACAAAATCATTGGCGGGAAATGGTATTTGGCTTACAGTACACTCTTGCCTTCCTAGTTAGTGATTTATAAGAGAAGAGGCATTAGTTAAACTAGAATGGATGTATCAGAATCAAATATGCATAAAGAAACTCAATTAGGCAAAGGTTTGATGATTTTCACATTTCAGATGGAGTAGAGTGCATTCACCTGCTTCAATGAGACCATCCCAGTCCATCTTGCCATCACTGACAAACATATTTAAATCCCAGGTCCCTTTCTTCCAACGCTCATCGATAAATTTTGGAACAGAAAAACCATTCTCCGATTTATCGGTGGCCTTATTTGATCCACCAGTGGCTAAAGCAGGCTTCTCCTGTTGTTCAGATAAGCCAACACCTCTTTGGCCTTCAACATTTAGAGCAACAGCATGGGTCGCCTGCTTTGATCCCAAAGACCTTGCAGTCCTTGCTTGAGGCCGTTGTTTTTTGATGAGAGGATGAGAACCGCAGGTTCTATGCAATGAAGCAGAAATGGAAATGGATGCCATAGATGTTAAAAGAGAGATTTTTCTTTTCGTGTGTTATTTCTCTTGGTAGTAGTAATGTGAGGATAGATAGCAGGGAAGTAGCCCATGCTCTCTAATAAAGAAGATTATCTTGCCTCGCCTTTTTTGTCAGTAAAGTCATGTGCAGATTTTTTGTTTGAGAATGGCATTGAATGTTTCTTGCTGAAAGAAATGGCCAAATCAATGAAAAGGGAATATAATATTTTAAGACATTGCCACCAAGAAAAGGAAGATCACCATTTATTAATGTTAACATTTCTCCATTAGGCAGGATAACTTTGGATACCAAGCGAATTGAAGCAGGTTTTACAAGTCATCTTGTTGTTTCATGAAATTTGAGCAAACGCATAGCCAAATATTTACAGAATAATAACATGCACCGTAATTGGATGGGTTTGCAAATATGGCCATTCATGCAAAATCAAGCCAGAATGATAGCTAGCTAAATTATTTTCTTGAATATCATAAACTGTTGCACAAGGCCAGTCGAAGATTACAACATATGTTTTTCAGTCTCAAAATCAAGAGTTGTAATACTGGTAACAACTAATTTTTGTAAATGCTGATGGGAGGAGCTTCAAGTTGGGAACAAAAAAAGAAAATAATTCCCTCAATGAATACACTTAAAATCCAAATATAAAACTATGAAGACTTTATGAGAGCAAAACAACTTCAGCTGTAAGAAGATACGAGGCAAAAGGAGCTGGAGACTTGAGGAGAGTGCTTATGCTTCCCATCCCCTTAACAGAGTGGCCCTAGCAACTCGGTTTACACCAAGGGTAAAGGCACCCATTCGAAGATTACAGTCATGTGTCTGGCACATGACCTTGATGTTATGAAAGGCTCGAGTCATGTAGTTCTGAAGCGTCTTGTTCACTTGCTCTTCATCCCACATAAAACCTTGAATATTCTGCAAAATTAGACAAATTGGAGCATGTTAAACAGATGCTCCATAAAATTAACGATTCTGTTTCAGCATCTTTTGCAAGGTGTTAGTAATTTGCATTTTCAGTTCAAGACAGATCCCAGATGATGTCCTCAATCCCCTCATAAGTAAACTTATAACAAGCACAATCCAAGATGCATACCTAAATGAACTAGAAAGAGCAAAAAACTAGCTTATTCTTCCCTAACTAGATGGATAAGATCTTCACAAACTAGATGAATAAGATGAAACCATTGCAGTATTTCACTGCAATGAACAAGCACAAACGTCAGATGCTTGGGAATCAGATTCGTGGTTTCCAAGCCACTAGTGTAAAGTTTCAGGAGGTTCTTGGCTTCACTTCTCTGCTGTCTAATTTCATTTGCTAGTCTGCTGAAGTTTAGATGCTTGACAAGCAGGTTAGAGGAATTCAGGTCATATGCGGACTCATACAACATAAAGTGTTTTTCATAAATTTTGCAATACCAAGTATTCAGTCTCAGCAGAGCAATGCCTTTTCCTTTCGTTTTAATCCATTACCTGAACCCATTCAAAGTAGCTGACAGTGACACCTCCAGAATTTGCATATATGTCAGGAAGCACCACGACTCCTTTCTTTGCTAAAATCTGCAATATTTACATCTCATAAATCAGAATAATAATTTCAATCATAATTTTTCCTTTTGATTTTCATGGAAGACAGCAGGAGTACAAATTCAATGCTACCTCATCTGCCTCTGGATCAGTAGGATGGTTTGCTGCTTCTATTATGAACTTGGCCTTCACATCTGCAGCATTTTCCCTTTAAAGGCCAACCATGTTCAGGAAAAGTTAGTTGTTGTTTATCAATATGGTTAAAAGAACAAAATATTAAAAAATTTCGGATACACGGATGGAAAAGGCTCAATAATTTCTAACCAGCAGTTTTCCAACTCAACATCTAATTTACACTTCTGATGAAATTATCTCAAAGGACATGCATGAGACCAGCTCAAGATTTCATGGGTTTTCTAAAGGAAATAAAAATCACAAGGGCAATGATGAAGTTTAAACATGATAAAGAAGCCTTTAGCGACCAACGATGAGACAGTATAAAAAAAGCATGCAATACTGTACTAGAAACTGAAAAACAAGGAACAATTTTCAGGAAGATGCTAAACCTGTTTAGAACTCCACCCAGAGCACATGGGATAAGGACATCACATTCATGTACAAGCAGTTCGTTAGCATCCATGGAGTCTCCACCCTGGAAATTTTTCAAACTACGGGTGGATTCTTTATGCCTGATCAATTCTGGAATATCAATTCCATTTGGATTCTTCACTGCACCAGTGATGTCACTCACAGCGATAACTTTCCCACCTCTCTCATGTATGATCTTAGCTGCCCACGACCCCACATTTCCAAAACCCTAGATGATTCATTGATAAGTTTTTTTTTTCAACATGACAGTATCAAAAATAGCAGGTATGTAGCCAGCAAATAAAATTGAGATTTATATATTATTTCAAGTTTACCTGAACTGCAAATGTCAAACCCTTGATGGACTTCCCATGTTCAGCAAGTAAAGCTTCAGTAGCAAAAACAACTCCACGACCAGTTGCAGCCTCCCTGCCCAGTGATCCACCAAGATCCTAGCATCACAGGCATGGATTTAATAGAAATAAGGAGAGAGAAGCCATTCTTTTTGGCTATTACATATTATTGAAAAAGAAAACAAACTTAGAGGTGCCAGTCTTTAGCACTTACTATGGGCTTCCCTGTCACAACAGCAGGCGAGTGACCATGGAATTTCGAGTACTCATCCAATATCCATGCCATGGTCTGTTCACATATGTTATACCCATCATTACTAATTGTTGTTAGCAATAAAATTGGATAAATTGAATGCATCAAAAGACTTGTGAAAAATCAACTAGTGGAATGTACCTGGGCATTTGTGCCCATGTCTGGTGCTGGAACATCCGTATGGACGCCAATAAGATCATGGATCTTCTGAGTGAAGACACGAGTCAGACGTTCTAATTCACTTTTACTCAAATCCCCTGGGTTGCATCCAATCCCTCCTTTTGCTCCACCATATGGAATGTCTGCTACAGCACTCTTCCATGTCATTAGTTGAGCAAGGGCATTTACTTCATCGGGGTCAACCTTTCAAGATCAAAATAAGGAAAAGCATCAGCATCAATTTCTAAGTTAATATCCTTCAAGCAAAATCAATCCAATAATTGTTTAAGATAAAACAGAGCAAAGATAATTCAGGTGACATTTGCTCTGGAAAATTTGGCGCAGAAATAAAATAAGAGGAAAGTATGAATGAATTTTTTAATTTTTTTTCCATGCTAACTTTACCCTAGGAGAAATCTGATTTAGAACATTTATGAGTAGGCAGAAATCCTTTGTCAAGAAGGATGCCAAACACTTCACAAGATATAAAAGCTGTTCTATCCAGATAATCCTAGGTCCTAACCATGTTCTGTTTATGTGGCTCAAACAAAGACAGAACATCCCAAAACAATTCTAGATTATATAACATTTGCAACCACTAACAACAGCATCAACCCCATTTCTAAAACTACTTATCCATGGAACTGCATTGGTAAAAATATCTGTTTCAAATTCCTTTCAACATAAGGCCCGTAAAGGACCAAGGTAAATCTGTATATACTAAATTGATAAGCTTCTTTGTTTCCAAACGTCCAGATGAAATCAGGATTCAGATCCCAGCTAAGATTGGTTTGAATCAATTGTGGCCTTTTTTCTCTTTCCATGTCATAATCACCTATGTTTCGGCCATACCTTAACAAAGCCCCCTTTGAAAAATCCGAACTTGCCCTTAACTAGACAAATCAGACTGGGCAACTATGGCCTAATAAGACATCAAATCTTCAAGAAACACAAATTAGTACAGAAAGTTAAAAAACGCAATCATCTCACACACACCTCGGGATGATATCTAATTCCTCCCTTCATGGGCCCACGAGCATTATCATGTTGCACTCTAAACCCAATATAAGACGCCAAAGTTCCATCGTCCTTGGGAATTGTGCACTCCACCTGATGATAAAAAACCAGAACAAAATATCAAAAAGACAGAACCTATACTTTCTACCCAAAAAACGTTGTTAAAATTTTATTATACCTTGATCTCTCTAAAAGGGATCAAAAGACTCTTCTCAACCTTAGAATCCAAACCAAGAATGCGTGCAGCATGTCTAAAATTACGGTTTGTAGCTGCAAGAGCATTCATGGCTGCTGTCTAAATAACAATAAACCTCAAAAGAAACAAAAAGAACCCAGGTAAAGAAAACTCAAGAAAAAGACTTGCCCTTGGAAAGAAACTAAAGGGTGGTGGTGATTAGTGACTAAACAAGAACTAACAAGAATTCTGTGATGATTAGTGAGAGAGACTTGTTAATGGGAGGCGGTGTACTTATAAGGGAGTTAAAGGGGAGGCGGAGACTCGGGAGGGAAGTATTGGGCCCAAATGAAAAGTTGAGATAGGATTTGGTAGCTGGATAACCATGGAATTTTTCCTTTTTCATAGGAGAGAGGAGGACGAGGAAGAAGAGTATAGTTGATATTGTTTTTAAAAATATTTTTTCTTCCAAATTTACTGAAAACTACTGTGCAAACTGCAAACATAACCCTAAATTACCACTAAATGTTGATTAGACTGTCTAATTTGAGGGCAATGATAATGAAATTACTATGATGTCCTTTCTTCTTGATGGTTGAAGCCAGCCTGTTTTGCTTTGTCATGGCTGAATTTAGAGTCGGAAAAAATGGTTTTTTTTTTTAATTTAAAGTATTGTTATTGATGGTTATGAATAGAAAGCAATTTAAAAACCACTTTAAATGTTATTTTAATAAATTTATAAATAAAAAATAATTATAATCATGCTTTCTAATGTGTTACTCTAAAAATAAAACAATTACTACTCATTAAAAAAATTATATAAAATTTAATTATTTCAGAATATGATAATGGATGGAAGTTGATAGTATAATTACATTATTATTATTATTTTATGGGATATTTCTTACCTAACTTTCTTCAACAAAGATTAGATTTTATAATTTGGATTTTAATGAGACACCAACTAATCTTACTAAACTTTAAATGTTAAAACATTTTCTTCTAATTTTGGACTAACCTTTTTGGATTAGTATAGTTGTATTGTCTTTGAATATAATTGTTAAAGATATTAAATGAAAAATGAAAAATATTACAAACAAATTATGATCATTTTCTCGTTAATATAAATTATTGACAGGAGCTAGCTATTTCAGTTTAATTTAGGAAAATCAAATTTGAAAATTAAGGATCCGGTATATAAAATTTTTTTGATATCCTCTCAAGTCACCAAAAGATTTATGCCTCTTTTTTTTTTCAATATATAAAGAGTGGGAACCATGC